GGTTACCTGGTTTCTTTCAGGGTGTAAGGGCCAGTCTCCTCTGTGGGGACCACGCAGTCAAAGCTGCCTTGCTTTTTGCTGCCCCGTAAGAGGATATGAAGCAAGAAGAGGTACCAGTTATTGGCTTTGCCCTTGCGTTTTATAGCTGTATCACCCCTTTCTCCCCCAGCACTGGATGCAAACATCCCAGCTGCCCACAGCAGAGTCTTTCTGTGTGAGGGACAAGGGGGAATGCCTGGGGAAGGACAGGGATGAGTCTGTGGCACTACAGGCCAGAAGCACTGGGCAAGAGCTGTACAGCCCACTCAGAAAGGTTCAAAAGCATATATATGATGTGCATGCTCATGTGCGCAGTTCAGACTGTCAAGGAACGTGGGCCTTCAGCTTTCCAAAAGGGGAAAGGGGGAGAGAGTTGTGTAATCATGATTCTGGTTCATAAACCTTACCAGTTAAGATCCTTGCATTGGCCTAGGCTAGGACTGCTAAATGCCTTGGTCCTTGGCATCTTTGTTCCTGTGCTATTCCCAGAGTGCAAAGATTTAGGCAAAACTATCCATAGACATTTTTTATCTTTCCCCTTTTCTCATGGATTGTGCTTTTATTGTTGTTTTTATACACAGTTAACCTGACTTAACCTTTGTACCTGTAGTGTAGCAATTACTCCCATCTAAGGCTCTTCACAGCTTAATCAGGAGTGTGAATTTAGTGTCAGCGCAGATTCTACTTGTAAGAAGCTATATGTATGTTAACTAACACTGCTGTTTTAGAGGGAGAATATGATCTTTTTTTAGCATATTAGGTTAGACCTGGCTAGTTACCCCCACAGACATCAAGAGGTAACATACAAAACTGGAGGAGATCAGTGTAAATCTATTAGGTATCTGGGAAACCTCACTGATTTTATCCATCTCAAGACCAGGTCTGAGGTTGAAGTTCACATGTGTTTATTTCTTTGGTTCGATGCATTCAGTTCTCAACAGGCTGCGATTCCTGTATGGAGGCTACACCTCTTTCTTTTTATGTTGTGAATAATTGCTATGGAGAGATGAGGCACGCGTAGAAGGGAAAGTGGCTCCAAGTCCTGACAACCAACAAGCAAGTATATTTGTGTGGTATTTAGCTGAAATAATTGGGCTAGTTCAATAGTCACTCCCAGCTCAGCTTAGTGTTGAAATATTGCAGCTGGTGGGTGGCAGAGACTTGGTTGTCCATTTTCCCCACATTGGCAACTACTAAATTTACCACCTACTACTTAGATTGTCATGAAATAACAAATTCCTCTTCGGTATGCTTTTTTCCCCTTTTCCGTGTCTGCATGTTTAATCTGGACCTTTCTCATTTCCTCTGGGCTTCTCCAGCTGCCTGGTTTCTTCACTGGCCTTGGCCAGTGCAGAAAGACAGAGGGACATTCTACTGCTTCACTAGGAAAGCTGAAGTGCAGAGAGGACGTAGCAATGGCGTAAAACCCTCCAGGTGCCCCCAGTTGGTGCCTGCACTCTTCCCTTGCTGATGGGTGCGAACTGTGCTCCTGGTAGGTCCACAGGACTGAGGCCAGAAGGGACAGTTGCAGCTCGCTCTCTAACAGCTAAAATGTCTTGGAAACCAAATACTAGCCTAGAAAACAACACTTTTGAGCTGAAGAACGCCTGCCTGGATAACGTTATTCTTCTTGCTGTTTCCCTGTGCTGGCCATGCAGCCATTTCCTGTCCGTAGTGCACTTAATTCAGCCAAAGCAATAAGCTATAAATTACTCTGTATACGTGGGTATGTGCTACAGAGGAACTGAACCTAGCAGCCAGGCCAGGAGCTTGCCTGCACAGAGTGCATTGCACATGTTTCCAAAAAAAAAAAAAAAAAAAAAAAAAAAAAAAAAAAAAAAAAAAAAAAAAAAAAAAAAAAAAAAAAAAAAAAAAAAAAAAAAAAAAAAAAAAAAAAAAAAACCCGGAGCTGCTAAAGTCCAGCAGAGCTGCCTGATCAGTCACTGTGATTTCCATCAGGATTATGAAAGCATGTTTATAAATGTGAAAATATTCTACACAGTTCAGCATGCTTTGCTAAGCCATTACTCAAAGAAAAGAATGATACAGCATACAGCAGCAAGACAAAACAATATCTGGGCCATTTAGAACTGTAGTGAATTTTAGGTAATACTCTTAACAGTATAATGCCTTAGTGCAGCTTGTGGGGAAAAGCCTTTATATCTAATGGAATAGCTGTCATTATTTCCTGGCTTAGAAATATTTCCATTCTCCTACAGTATCACATGCACTGGAGAGGGAGGTTTCATGTACGCCATATTTGCAAGGGCAATGAAAGGCCAAGGCTTGGGGGGATCAGGAGAGAGAAGAGTGGGAGAAAATATGATTTTAATGGCAGAAAATATTTTTCCAAACTTTATTCTAGTTTTTTTCTTATTATCATGAAGATTTATTAAGGATAAAAATCTCTGAAATATGGATCACTTGAAAGAGATCAGCTGGGAATGGAGCTTCAGCAAAATTGTCAAAAGACTAAATACATCATTTATCTCTATGCCACAGCTGAGGTATAATGAAAAATACATTCTGCTGAACACAGCAAATTAAATTAAGTTATGCTCATGTGAGCATTTCTGTGTTGTCAGAATAAAACCCTAGGGTTTTGTAATTGGCTTGGATAGTAAACCCTTGGGGATGGCTGTTAGGGATGGACTTGCTTGGTTACATGCAGGCTGCTATTCCAGCAGTGGATTACAATGGTTACATCCTTAATGACTGTCAGGGACCAAGGGATGCGATGGCTTGAAAATCACAGATGAAAAACAGTGGGAAGCTGAGTGTTTCTGTTGGACACAACCCCTTCCTAGAGCAGGCAGCACACACTCCCACTTTCCCAAAGAACTCTTTTGCCTTTCTTATTTTTCCTTAGGCTCATTGGCAAGATGCAAGTCCTCCTGAATGCAAAGAAAACAAACCCCCAACAAGAAATACTTATGACCTTTTCTTACCATTCTGTAAAACTAATTAATGTTACACATTGTGTCACCAGCATTCAGAAGCAGTGAAGGACACTGACAATAATTTATTTAATAGTCAGATATAAGCAGGATTTAAATAAGGCCTACTGACTACCATCCCACCTGAAGTCTCCTACTAGTGTCACAGCCTTTCAGGTCATAGATGGGGACCTCATCCTCTTTGAAAGCTGCTGTGATCCCTATTAATGTGCAGGGTCATTGTCCAGCTTTGGAAAGGGGCTCAGGAGCCTGCTGCTGCCTCTTAATCGAGTCAGTAGTTGGTGATTTTTATCTGTGCTGACAGCCCAACTGAGGGCAGTGTTATGCCGGCTGCTGGGTTCACGGAGATTAAGACTGCCTGCTCTTTTCCTAATGCTCTTTGAGAGCCTCAGCCATCCTACAGGATTCGCAGTCGTGGAGCCTCCTTTCACATTGTCCCAGTGCAAATCTCCTTCACAGCTGTAAATCCACTGAGAATTTGGCCTGCATGAGCTGAAAACTAGCCTTTATAAACTGCGCTGGCTGCCTTTATGGGGACCTGCCATTTGCTGTTCATGTGTAGATTAAGTAAGGTGGCTGGGTTCCATGTCTGAAGGTCCTAATGCCCTGTCTTCCTCCATCCTCACCCAGGATTTGGCTTAGATTTGAGCTTGTTTGTCTGAAGCTTTCCAATATTTGCCAAGCACAGTAATACCTTCTTTGAAAGTGTTTTACCCAGCAGCGGTCTCCCTCAGCTTATTTTGAGATGTCAAGTGAACTGGAGAGCAAAGGCAATATATTTCTGGGTTTTTTTGTGAAGCATTCAGATCCTTTTTTGTGCAGACTAGAGGTAAAGCCTGAGAATGCTTCCAGAAGCCAAAGAAAATCTGTTCTAGATGGTAACTAAATCAAGGAGAATCAAGTCCAACTGAAGTTATCTGTCCTATTTATGTCAATTATGTCCTAGTTTTATGTCAATTTTGGTAAATATAGTCCTTCTTCTGGGTTCTAGATTTTTGAGTGCAGGAACTGAAAACATCCTTGAGATACCCAGCTAGGTGCTGCGTGCTTGCATGCTACACCCCTTTCCCATTTCACTTCTCAAAAGCTGAAGTTTTAGTGAGCACAGCTCTAAACTACAGACCCCACGGCAGAGGTTTGTAAGGTACATCTTTCAAGGATGTTTTCTCCTGATTATACATCTTCCCTGAACTAAACTGGACCTCTCAGGAAGAAAGAAAAAACAGAAACTCCGGTCCTCTAGGTCTAATTTACTTTCATGCTGCACAACAGCAGAATATACTCCTTGCGAGAACTGGTCCTGTGGATGGATTAACCAAGAAGTCTTTGCTGAAAAAGCTTGACTGACCAACGCTTTTTGGCCTCATTTTATTAGCCTGTGGGGTTGCAGGCTTTGCTTGGCTTTAGTGCTAAGTTGGAGGGATCCTGAGTTGGGTGTCCACTGCAGCACTGGAGGCTTTTGAATGGCATGGAGCAAAAGAAGAACCGCCCTCCTACAGAGGAAAGACATCCGCAGCCACCATCCACATTATAGCAGTGTGTGCCAGAAGTAAGTCACAGTGCAACTACAGTAGATGTATATCTATATGTCTATAGATATATGTTTATGCATGTGTATATTAAAAAAAATGCACACATATAGAAGTATATCTAAAGCTATCTATCTATGCATATTTCCCATGTATTTTATTAACAGCACGGGGGGGTTTCCAGTGCTACTTGCTGGTAACTTGTCATGACCAGGCAATTCATTCAAATATCAAGCAAAAATTTTGAGAAAGGCCAAACTATTAATATTCATAGACTTTAAATCTACTGTATGGCAAGTAGCAATGCAGCTTTTCAGTGAACTCTCAATGTCATCTCTTTCGTTCTCTGGTTTAGAGCATACGTCTGTGCATTGCTATGTGTAAGCGAAACCTGTTGCCATGGTGACACTAGAGCTTTCTAAATATGGCATGTGATGTCCAAAATTGCATTTGTGTTAACTGTTGAGGTGAAGATTAGAGAGAAAGTACTGCACGCAGGGTCCTTTCAGACAATAAAAAAACTGCTGTTTTGACTCATGAGAAAAGAACGTATTTGCATTGATGTATGAACTTACTAAGCTGATATTATTAACTATGGCTTGTTGATTTTATCTTCCACAATATGCCACATGCTCTTCAGGAGGACAAGACATGGATGTGATTTCTGTCTCTGGGACCATGCAAATTGAAGCTGATAAGGAGCTATACTGTATTTTTCTTACAAGTGCATGTAGGTATTTGAATCATTTTAAGTAATTAACATTACTGGATTGCTTCTCTTGCTTAAAGCTAAATATCTGTTTAAATGCTTATCTGTTGTGGGCTGAATGGAAGTAGGGAGAGGTTGTATCTGATAGAATTATCAGTCTTGTAATTACATGCAAACACCCCAGACATTCTCCTGGGTTTAGCATATGAATCTAATAAGAGTCAGGTATGGGAATATTATAGGTAGGTTAATGAAATCTGTATTTGCCAGACCCTTGCATATAACTTTTGGTGAGGGCTGCAACATGAAGAGCAATGATATGTTTTAAGCAACAGCATTTGCCTGGTACTTTTTGTCACAATCTGTATTAGCTAGGGTCTGGCTGTCATGTTAGGGAGTGAAAAATTACCTTGCAAAGTGAGAGCGCCGGCTGCACGCACCCAGCAGCTTGTCAAGTGCTAGATCTGTGTTTTCAAGGCAGAAATGATTGTTATGTAATTGCAGTTGACATTTATGGAACACTTTTAATCCTAAATGAGCTCAAATCCAGTCACAAGCTCTGAGTCTGTTGTGTCAAACAGTCGGGTCTGCTCGGGTCTTAAAATTTAGTTGCGGCACCAAGTGCCATGGGACCTGCCAGAGCTCCCAGTTCATACTGATATATTTTTTCTCCTCTGAAGTACACCAAGAACCTCAGCCGAGACACTGGACACCTTGCAGTACCAGTGATCGACGCACCCTCTGGACGACAGCACTGCAGAGCACAAGGGTGGGATTTTCTTGGAGGATGAGGGAGCTGGAATTGCTGCACGAGAGGTTTTCCATGTAGTCTTTCCATCTGTGCAGTTGCTGCATTTGGCACTGCCTTGTGTGTTGCTGAAGTGCTAGGACATGAGGTCCCGGTGAAGCCTCCAGCTCTCTGCTGCAGCCTGGGCTCTTCCTTGGACATCTCTGGTTCCCAGCCCTACCCAGGGACAATGTAAGGCCCATAACACCCACTCTGCTCCACCCTACTGCTCAAAGAGACTTCAGTTTAAACGAGAATTAGGAAAATAACAGGGTCCTATTGTTCCTAACACTGTGAATCATAAAGATGCGTGTCAGAAAAATGTTATTCTGGATCCAGCTTGTCATACTCTTCTCTTCAGTAAGACTTTATTTATGAGCTCCCCCACTAAGACTTATGCTAGTGCAAGACCCTTCTCAGCCTGCAACAGGATGTCAGGATCTGGCCCTGACTGACAACAGAGTTCCCCTAAATTTCAGAGTCCACGAGGCTGTTCGGTGGTGGCCCCATGCATCTATTTGTCACGTTTGATGTTGGTTAGTGAGATGAAACAGAGCTGGCACGCCAAGGGACAGTATACAGGGTGACGAGTTTGCCACCATGTTAGAGCATGTGAGGGAGTAGGGACTACGGCCAGGAGTTGCAGCTCCCGATTCATCTGTATTAGAGAGCTTCCAGGCTTCTTGAAGTAGTCTGAACCTTCCTAATGTGAAATTTCCTCAAAAAAGGACAAATAGCTCATATTTAAGGTATGAGGTATGGGAGGGAAAAAAGGCAAGGGAAGAGAAATATGATGCCACAAAACTTCCATAAGCCATTACAGCTAATAAATAATAAAGCTAGAAGCAAAATAAGAGAGGGAAGGAATGAAAGCTGTAAAGGAGTCCTAAAATGGATGCCAACTACTCTCTGGAAACATAAAGAGATAGAGAGAGAGGGGCCAGGAACAGGAATTTTTCAGATGAAATAAGGACATCAGGGAAATCCTCCCTCACCAGGCCTTTGGCAGGTGCCTGCGTGCAAGACTGCCAGGTTCGGCACTGGATTTGTCCTCAGACAGATCTGTCACGTGCAGCCAACAGCACAGCACTGCAGAGGTGAGGCTGGCTGAGCTGCGCGTGGGGTTGATCTATAGCTAGTGACATCCAACGGAGCAGAGGGGCCAGGGCTGTGTGTAATTCAGTACAAGCAAGGCTCAAGGGTTGCAGTGAGACAGCCAGGGTATGTGGCAGTGCTAGATGGATGCCTTGAAGCTGTGTTGTGTTCGTTTCCATTGCAAAATGGATGTGAGGAGGTGTCTTTTGGAGCCTGGGGTGTTTTTTTTTTTTTAAACAGATAAGCTAAATGTGAAAAAAAGATATTGCTTCTAGTCTTATATGCTCAGAATTATTTATGTTGGTATGTTAGTATTTAATTCCATTTGTGTTTTTCTGCCCACCATGTTTTGGTTTTCTCTATACTTTTGTAAATTGTGCAAAAGTAGTGCATTGCTACATAATGGGGTTGCAACCCAAGGCTATTTGGAAACAGACCTGGGGTGGGAGGTTTTTTTCTAAAAAAAAAAAAAAAAAAAAAAAAAGTCACTGCCATCACTGTAAATCTGGGTCCTACTCTTTGCAAAGATGGCCAATAAGTTTCTAGGCAGAATTCAAGGTAGTGGTAATTAGTCAAAGCTGATGTGGCATAGGGTTTGATTAGCCAAGGTGTTTGCTCTGTCTTGCACGTCACTGTGACGAGCTGAAATATGCAGGCTCTGGGGGATCTGGGAGGGTCTCCACCAGCATGTTGCCCGAGCCACGGATCCAGGAGGGTCTCCATCAGCACGTTGCCCAAGCCATGCAGACCACCTATGGGTGCTGCCAGGGCAGGAGGCAGCTCGGAGAGGGCTGCTGCCAAGACAGCCATGGTGGTGCGTCCAGTTCAGGCCCAGCATGTGCAAAAGGAGAGCTTCTGTGGGGGCCCAGGGCACAATGGTCAATCACCACTGGCTTGAGGTCAGGACTGGCTGCTGTTGCTGTGGTTGTGTTGCCTGGGGAAGTGTGAGGCTGTGGCACGTGCAGTGTGCATGCCAGCACAGCTATTTGCTTTTATTGTAATCATTTATTGAAAGCTTTGTTTTAAACTTCCAGGCTCTCTTTGGTTTCCTGAGTGTTCGCACGCTGATGGATTGTACAATCAAGTACTTCATTAAAAATAAATAAAAAGGCACCTGCATTGCTTTTATGTAGAGTATGCAGGCATTAATAACAGGAGTATGAATAGTGAAAAACTGTAACAGACATGCACATCATCAGACCTGTTTTCCCTTGCCCATGTTTGCTTCCTCTTAGCACACTCCAGAGATCACCTCGATGCCCAGTATATCTCAGACCAGCCCATGAGTGACCTGGCAGCGTGTCAGAGTGGAGCAGGGTGGATATTGGCATTGCCAGTGCTGACACCAAGGACTGCTGCCTGTTCACCACCCAGGCTGGAGCTGCCTAGATGTTTCCCTTTGTCATAGTCAGTTCAGCCAAATAATACAGCCTTCTAATTTCTTACTGAACCCCTGTTTCAGTTAGTTTGTGTTTGTTGTGGCAAGTCATCTGTGACCTGTCCCTCTTGACTTTTCTTTCTGGTTCAGGGTCCCTTTCTCAACAAGCTGCCTCAGTCCAGCAGAGAAAGAAGGCAAAAACCTCAAAAAATCCAATGAAAAACCATACAAAATGCATACAAAAATCAGACACAGATATTTCCTCTTCCCCATGTTCTCTTGCAAAAGTTAGCAGTTTAGCTCCTTTATTCCATTTTTTCTGACTTTGTTCAAAGCAATTGCATCTGACCTCAAGTGAAGGTACTTTATATTTTTTTATTTAAAAAAAAATCAAGACGTTTTCTGCCCATTAGGACCCTCTTTCCACTAATGGCCTTAATATCATTTCAGGAAGCAGCAATACTGAAAGATTTGCGCAATTCCAGAACGGTAAGGAGAAAACTTTACAAGCTTGTGGCTAGATTTCACTGTCTATGGAAAGATTTCCTCTCATGATGATTTTTCAGCAAATCAACAACTGAAGGTGGCTTGTGAGCTACAGTAGCATGTCTGAGAAGGTGGGAAGCTTCTCCTGGTTGAGGGTCTCAGGGGTTATTCAGGGAGTAAATAAAATCAGAGTAACATAAACTAGACCTGAACCAATAGTGGGCTGGTGACAGTTTTTTCTTCTTGCTCCTCTTCAGACAGCAGAAGAGCAGAGACTTTTTCCTGGGTGAACGCATTTGTGTGGACACGTAGCTTGATGGACACAACATGATTCTGGGCCCTCAGAGATATTGCTGAAAAATTGCCCCAGGGTCGGATAGTGCACCAGAAAGACACATCACTGTCAAGATATTTAGTTTGTGCATGTGTCGTGGTGGGGGGTGAGGGGAGGAGAGGGGTGTTGTGTTTTTCTCTATTTTTGGTTTGTTGGGTGTTTGTTTTTTGTTTTTGTTTACAACCAAAAGGGCAAGAAATATAGTTTCAAGTTAAGGCTGAAGTTTTGGAAGATGATACTTCAGGGAGAGGTGGATTACGCAGCAAACCATGCAGGTACAGAATATCCTACTGGGGAATGAATTAGGAAAGATACTTGGAGATAGTTTACAGGAGAAATACATTAAAAAAACATGCCGTCCGTGGTTCAAAACTATCTTGTCTTCCCTCCGGAATCCCCCTGACATAAACCAGACACACTGTTGCCCATTGTGCTGAGGTAATCTCCTGAGTTGTCATTTTTCCGCAGAAATCATCAGCTGGGAGATGGGAAGGAGGAGAGCAGCCCAGCTCTTCTCCCCACTCCCTTTATAAGCCTCTGCCTCCCTCAGCACCTTCCCGAACTCTAAAACACAAGAAGAGAATTGATTTCATTTAGCTGTTGAGCAACTAGACCTCACATTGGTGAAACTAATGAATTATTAATAGAAAGCAGAGCTTCATTAGGATTCCTGCAGCTCCGCCATTACAGTGTTTCCAGACAGAGTTAATTTCTGTAAAAATATATATGGGATTTTTCGGCTCATTGGCTCTCATTGTGCTTCGCTTATTTCTTCTGGCTCCTCCCTGCGGCTGGTGTTGGCCTAACATAGTAGACCACCAGAGAAATACCTAAGGATTAATTAATTTAATCCAGCCTCTGCTGAGATGGAGCCCTGGAGACTGCTTGCAGCACTTGGATGAAATGTAGTGTTTGCACAAATGGCCAGTGGAAGAGGAGAGAAAAAGTGCTCGTAACAGGTTTCCTGCAGGATGGTGTCTGCTTCCTCTTACTCTGCAGGGAACAGATCCAGGCCTCCACAAGATTTTTTTCATTAATAGACTTTTTTCCCCATGCTTCACAGCTCTCGCTGAGGCAGTCTGTTTCTTTAACAAGGAGCTGGGCAAAAGCTGTGCCACAATGTAGCTCGAGGAGTCGGAGTACCTTAGAGATGTGCTAGCGGTGCCCATTTCCATGCCTGAAAATTGTTTTCTGGCTGCCTTTGGTGCTTTTGATAACCTCAGAAGTCTAATATACCTTAATGGCTATGTAGACAATCTTCACAGGGACGAATTTAACCCCGAAAGTTTTGACTGCGGTTCGTTTCAGTATCTGCTTTACCTTTTAATGATTATCAAGAATCTCCCAGCATAGGGGTGAACAAAAGGGATTCTTCTTGTTAAGTATTTCAAAAATTTCCCAAGATTTGTTTCCTTTCAGAAGAGTTTTGTAGTCTGCCAACTTGCTTTCCTAATGCATATCCCATGCTGCCTTTACTCTTGAAAAGTGAATCTGTTGCCTTTAATTTCTATGTTTGGTTTGTAACAACAGCATTTCCACATCTGGTCTGTTCTTATTTCAGCCTTTCTTCCTTGTCTGTGGTTTCTGTAACCACTGAAGTTGTATCTGTGCACTTTGCAGGCAGAAGTTGCTGTGCAAGTTCACAGGGCCAGGGCTAGTTACACCCAGCACTGTCAGATCTCTGCCTTAGAAATCTGTGCTGCCTTTCTGGATGAAAGACTGATAAGGTAGCAAAGTTTGATTGCTATGCAATAAGCAAAACATAAAGAGAAAAAAGTTCTCTTTGTTTGAAAATTAAGTTATTTCCTTGTTCTTTTTTTTTAATCTCTAGAAAAAAAAACATCTGGAACTATTAGATCATTGCTTTATAATCAGTCTTTGTCTTTTTACAGAAGAAAGGTATTAATAGAGAAAAATGAAACTCAGCACTTAAATTTTCAATTGGAGATGAAGGGGCAAAGAGTCCAAATTCCACTGATGATACATTCAAAATTATCCTTTCCATAGCAGAAAATCTCAAGATTTAAAAAATTATTAACACTTATAATTCTTAATATTCTTACTAATTATTTGCTTTCTGTTAGATATTAAAAACATGCTTATGGTTTATCTTTCTTCAGTACTCAACAAAAGAAAATTTCATTTCTCCTGTATCAGGACTTGACTTTTCTTCATTGCTTGACAGCCCAGGAGTGTAGCCCTCATCAAGTGTTATTACAGGCTCTGGAGTGAAGTGTTTTCATGCAGTCACAGACCCTCGTGCCCTCTTCTCTCCAAACAAAAAATCTCTTCTCCCCCTGCCTTCAGACTTCCCTCATCCTCTCTCATCTTCCCAGTACCGATCTTCCCGTCCAGCAAGTCCCAGTATGCAGGACATTCACGCACACATACACCTCCTGGTATGAGTTTACTTGCCAATACTCTGACAAAATACCAAAATCAGATAGGAGACAAGGTGGAGCAGTGCACGGAGTATCCTGTATGCAACGCACTGGCCTTACCCTAACTCAAAAAGCTTTTCGCCATCTGATTTTTGCACAAGCTTTGAGCTGCCTTTTATCCAGCTCTGCTCCGCTACCAGGCAGATATCCTCAGCTGAGCATTTGGGCCATAGAAGTTGGAAAGCAACATCCAGCCCAACATCCAGGCAGTTAAATATTCCGGGGTTTAATTTGGAGAAAGAGTTGATACAATTTAAAACATAAAAAAATTTGCCTTGAAACCTGCTAATTAAGATTTTAGGGCATACTGAGAAACTCCTGGATTTAGCTAACTTGAATTTAAAAAAAAAAAACAACCCTGCTACAAGCAGTATTAGCTACCAATCCATAATCCTGCAAAACTGGAAATCCCTTGCTCAGCTGAACCTAGCCCATTGGTATAGCATCTTAAGTGACTTAACTGGCATTGAAAAGCTAACATTTCTTATAAATAATGAACTAAACATTTATTTTGAAGTCATCCTGACAGTTTTCTTGGAAATCTGCAAATACAATACTTATGTTAACTAGCTGTGTCATCTGAATCAGTGTTTTAATTTTCTGATGGAGAATTAGAAAAGGCAACATCTGTAAAGCAGTAGAATTCCTATAGATTATAAAATACTGTCTCTAATGCAGAAATCAACCAGCTAAAGCTTGGTTTTAGATATAATCTAAAAAAATTCTGTATCTATAATTTATAGAGGTATTTATATTACATAGTAATTTATTCTATTATTTTGTGGCTTTTGTTGTTGTTTAGCTTTTATTTTTTCCCTTGAGAGTCTTCTGGGTGCAGAAATTTTATTCAGGTAAGTGCACAAAAGTTGAGATACGGGCAAACAGTAGGAAGAATGGCTGGGAACAGAGAATCAGTTTTAACGACAGCATTCACCATGCATATTGCAGCGTAAGCAAAAATCCAGTGTAGGTCATCAGTGTTAAGATGCAAGTATTTTGCAAAGCAGATAAGTAAGATTATTTAGGAAGGTGATGGTTCCTTCATGCTTAGAGACTTTAAATCAAGCTTGTCACTGTCACTAACATATATGCTCTGTTTCAGCCAGGAGGAAGTAGTAGGTGGGACGGTACAGTCTGTGTTATGTGGATCATCGCAATAGTCCCTTTAGGCTTTGGTGGAGTCATAAATTTTAAGACTAGAATACGGGAGGGGAAAAAAAAAAGAGGAACCGCAGTGTGATTTTTGTATTTATTGAAGAAAAAGTGTTTGGCATTCTCATTCTTTCAGGTGTTGTAAAATTATAATAGATAAAGAACAAGGTCATTTGGTTAGCACAGCTTTTCTTAAGAGAGAGATCTCTGCTTCTACCGCTCAAACCTTTGGTATTCTCAGGTCCTGTCTGAAATCACTGAGGGCTGAGAAATTTCAACAGGTTGTGAAAAAACAAACTCAAGGACATCAAAAATACCTCCTTTTGGTTGAGTCTCATGAAACCCAGAGAAAGGCCTTTATAAAAAAACTGATAGTCAATTGACACTTCTCTGACAAGCGTGGTGGGACAACTCTGTGTATGTAAATAGGAAAATTCTGATCAAAGTCATTCAGAAATATGTAGTATCACTCCTGGCCTGGACTTGGTAGAACCGAGTTACAGTGAATGAACAGTTATACAGTGGAAATGGTTTCTTGTGAGCTTCAAACAAACATCATAGCTGTAATCTAAACTCTGTGGTAAAATGGTTTTACTTACAATAAGCCATTATGAGTTCTGCTGAAGCCATTTTGCATCTGCTTCAAAGACAGCAGCTACTGGTTCTTTGATTCTCCCTTTCTGTAAAATAAGAGAAGGGTCATACAGGACATGCCCCTTCCTGAATGCCTCCACAAATTCATTCCTCATATCTGCATGTCTCAAGCCACAGAATAGGGTTGAAGAGGGAGGTGCAGTAGAGCAGACAATGTCAAAAAGGCTCAGTGCAGCTAGGGCAGGCTCAGAAGGTGACTGTCTGATTTCTAAGCTTCAGAAACTTTACTAGACTGTAATCAAGAGCACTCATGTGGTTGGATAAAGAGGGCCCAGAACAATGGGGTGACCACAGTTTGCAGAGCACAGCCAGGAGAAATGGTGAGGTTTGGGCACTGGCATTCTTTTTACAACCTGAGAGGGGGAAAAACAAGCCACAGAAAGGGAGGCCCCAAAGCAAACAGGCATCAGACTTATCCTGTATGGTGTGGTAAACTGTGTGGCAGCCTCCAAGGGAAGAGGCAGTGCATGGGAGACAGCAGAACTCTGCTAAGTGACATGATCTGTACATAAAATAAGAGATACATAAAAGCTAACACCCAAGAAATGCTGAAGATTCTAATGTCTGTCGTCTTTGTTGTATTTCAAAGGGTGGAAGACAACACAGTACATGGATGGTCCGTAAAAGTGCTGATGAAGACCTGGAAGCTCTTGTGGACTTCTAATGAGTAATACTGAGTCTGGCAAAACTACAGGATCACGAGGCTGCAGTTCCCTGAGATAACATCATAAAGGAGTAAGTACAATTGGTGGCCAGTTAAAACAGCTATGACCACAAAATTCACAAATGAGAAAATCCTTTGAGGTCTTAAAGAGTTTTCCAAGTGCAGATAACGAAGATGTTTGTCAGTAGGCCAGGCAGCAAAAGGGGAACCTGGAATGAAACCAGAAATCTGAGAGGTCTTCTCTGCATGGATGAAACCCACAGAGGAATGCCATTGTTGTTTTGTGTGACTGGAGGGATTCAAAGTATTGCTGTCACTATTTACCATTTTACTGGAGAAATATAGAAAATGCAAGACTATATGTATTTGCTAAGCCATTCATTGGAGGATCCTGAGGACAGACTCATTCGGCTGTTGCTGCTGGCAAACAAAGCATCCCATTGAAATTCAAAGGTTTGTGGAGGGAATATGAAAACAAAATGATTTATGTGACAAGTATTATGGAGTCTTCTCAGTATCAAAAGGAAGTCAATTTAATGTTATGATTTGCCTCAGCTTCTCTAGAAGTCTGTGCCTCTGCCTCCAGATGGGAGCAAACTTGATTTGGTAGGTAACTCCAAGCCTTGAGCTTAGGCCTCCTTCTCTTTTGTGGTGAGAGGGAAGAAAATAATGGGTAAAAGAAGTGGAGGAGTAGCTTTGCCACTGGTGAGAAATACTCTCCCTGTGTAGAAACAGGCTGTCCACCTTGAGCTTACGGCCACCTCTCCTACCTATCTCACATTAACCTTTCTGCTCTGTGCTGTTGTTCTAAGTCACTGCTTTGATTTCAGAGTATCTTCTCCTTCTGTAACAAAGCAGTGCAGCAGAGCAAGCCTGTAAAGTATCACAGCAGATTAAGTCAGGGTTTCACAAGTGTTCTTATACTATTGGGTTTTCATTATTGTTGCTACAGCTCATCTTGTAGGTTTTCTTTAACTGTGGTAGAACTCTGGATGATACTAACAACCAATTAGAAAGGTATTCACAGCATGAACTGATGATGGGGAAGGTACCATCCTAACAGATCACTGATAATTTGATGCATAACCACTACGAAAGCTGTTAAAAGCAGTACTCGTAGTAGCAAATCCGTAACAGGATGGGAGCAGCAAGCCCCAGACAGTGGAACCTGTCCTTGGATTAAACTACGGTGAATGAAACTTGAGTGCACGTACACACAGCAGGTAACTTTAGCTATGCTTTCAAAATGATTTCAGGTGTATGTATGGAAGCTGCTGAGTATAGTAAGGAAGGATGGTCCAGTGGTTAGCAGGATAGTTTTGGACCTGGCTATCCTAGATGCAGGTCTTTATTTCCCAGCAGACTGCCTGTGTGATTTAGCCAGTTCTTCATCTGTAGATTGCATTGATATCTGTGCCTCTCAGGGGTAAAGACCAATGCAGGTCTAGTAGTTTTCTTAAGACGTCAAGTTACCATGGCACTGGGGTTGTATGGGCACTTTACTGTAACAGCTTAACCATAGTTGTAATCTTTACAGATTTAAGTGTAATTCCATACCACTTGCATTGTCACTACTCAAATTAGAACAGCAATCCCACAGGGATATGAGAAATCACTTATTTTTAAAAATACATGGTAATTAAAACTATTATAAAAATTAAACATTTCTATAACCTCAGTTTCCCAGTTCTCCAGTGGGATTGTGATGTTGATAATTTAAGATAGAAAGAAAAAAAGGAGATGCACATATCTAGGAAGGTTAATTTGGGGCTGAAGTGAAGGATTCCATTCTGTGTTATGAAAATTGTCAACAGCTGCAGCTGTAGGAGACAGAAATAGCTCTGTTCCACTTGTCATACAACTGTCCATATGGAAATACTTATTTGTGAAGAAGTAATTGAGAGCCTTAATATGATAATCATTTTAGCTTTGCCTCCGAATCAAAATGTCTTTGTCCTTGGAGATTTAAATTTTATATTAAATATTAACAAAAGAACAAAAGCAATTTCTGCTGAATGTTTGTAGTGTGCCTACAAAGCAGTCAGGGAAACATTCACAGGAATTTACAGTTGCAGGACAGTGTACACATGGAGGCCTGCTGGAGGAAACCAGACCATTGCTGCTCAGTTCAACAGTGTGAATACCTGAGCAACAAGATCAACCTGGCTCAAATAACTTGAAAATGAAAAATCAGTTCCAGAACAAAGAATGAAAGAAAACTGGTTTGCCTTTTCAGAGGTTTGTATTTAAAACAAAGCACTTTTCACTCAGCTATATGCACTGCTAAAAATCTCTGTGTGCTCATAATTTTGCACACAGTCACTACAGAGTTATGTCTGTGTCAGTATTCAGCATCCTTTCTTTCTACTTTATTGCTTTGACAAATAGACAATTGTAAATAATTTAAGACTGCAAATTGTCTGTGTCAGTGACTGCCTTTTAAGATAAAGGAATCTTCAAGTGCACTAATGCTATTCACACAGTAGTTTGAAGTTCTGGATAACAGTTATTATTTTATTTCAATTTATTTCTGGCCAGAGTAGGCTGGTGACTAAAAACATTTTAAAAAAAAACACAATTCCAACTCAACCTAGTTAGTGGCAGCTTCTTATATCGGTAAAGATTATCTGTATTATTCTATTCTCTTCCTTGCACTGCCCTCATCAGATCTGAGCTCTAGCTGTCTTTCACGGAGTGCTAGAAATACAGCCAGAAATAGTATTTAGAAACTTAATTGATAGTTTAGCTTCAAATGCATATAACCTGTCTATAGATTATAAATATGGTGGCCACAGATTACATGCATATATTTTAGCAGTAGTTTCTTCTCTGTAGGCACTTAGAATTAAATGGAAAAAAAGTAAATAGGATGAAGGCCATGAAGGGTAATGGGCAGCTGAGAGAAACAGTCCTGTGAGTAATGCGGATCCTCTCTTATGGAAATCCTCACTCCTACGCTTCCTGAACTATGGGGAAAGCCCAAACCACCACTGAAACATGTGCGTCAGGCCCCAGTCTCTTGCTAACATCTGTTTTCAATCTTTTAAAAATCACTGTGGATGGAGTGTAGGGACTATTGTTAGTCAGCTGGGCTTTGTTTTGGTTTCTTGTCTTTTCTGCTCTTTTGGTGTTTGGAATTAGGGACAAATTACAGTACAAACACTAAAAATCATCTGCCAGACACGAACCAAGAGACATGTGTGTCCGTGTTTTCTGTGTCAAAAAAGGAATGGTGTGATTTGTATTTGTTCCCTCTTTCTCTGAGTGCTTTTTGTTTCTAAGACTTTCCCTGTGCTAGGGTATTCAACTTGCTTACAGATGTTGAAATGATGCCTTGGATCATCATGCTGTCCTGCTGCTTTGCTGCTTGCTTGGTCTCTAGTTAAACTTGCATATAGCCAAGGAGGATAGCATACACTAGCGGGCTGCCCCAAATGCTACTTCTCCATGCTTTGCTGCATGCCCAAATGTTGTAGCGCTAGTGTTTCTTCCATCTTTCTGGTTTATCTAAATAAATTCCTTAATGCAGATGCAGGAAATAGTCTTGCTCTTTAAAAAATGTTACATGATAAAGAACCAAGCTAAGGGCAAGAAAATTTGGTATGCCATCTGCCTAATGCCTGTAGCAGCACCATGCTTTCTGGTATTTAGAGCAAGGGATGCAAGGAAGTGGTTATTTATTGATTGCGGAAACAGCCCAATGTTTCACTGATTCACTATTGATTTCCAAATTTGATATTTAAATATGCTTTTACAGTGTATAAATCCAGACAAAATGTCATTCACCATATGTTTATTACTAAAACTTGGCACTTACTTGCATCAAAGTAGTTTTCACACACGGACTGTTTGTTTCAAAACCTCTGCGAAGCAGGTATAATTAACATTAGCACTTTAGGGGGAAAGCTGGGGCTGAGAACAGAGAAAATAATTCCATCACTGCTGCAGAGGGAGTCAGCACAGGGATTTGGATTAGAAACAGCCTTTCATAGCTTCCAATTTTCTTCCAGCAGATGACTAAATTTGCATCTTTTATTATAATAACTGGACAAATAGTAACTTGCTAATTTCTTAAAGAAAGTACCTAAAATGGTTGTAAGCCTGGTTTAGAAAAATGTAAAGAAACGATCTTCTTACCTGAATAGCGATAACTACCTCACATGGAAGATGCATGATAAATAGCTCTATGCCATTTTGCATACAATTAACTTTTATCAACCAGAACAAGAAACACATTTCAAATGCATCATTTATATGAACTTTATAAATGACCCACTCTTGTACTGCTGGCATAAGTCACTATGATGAAGCCACGTAAAGGGCCTCAAAGGAATAAGAAACTAGGAAAAGATGTTTTTGTATGAAACTTCTCCAAGAACTTGCATATCACTGCTAGGACTGTTAGCAAGTGTTCAGAGACTTTTGGCTTTCAAACTAAGTTTGAGCTCTAAGGATGCAAAGATAACTGGTCTTTTTTCACTTCAGTGTTTATACATGAGCAGATCAAATTATAGGCTGATTTTGGTATTGTGTTGGCTGCAGAACAGACCTATCAAAAGATTAAATTCACATGCAGGTTTCTGACTTTTAGTTAAATTCCTAAGAAAATGCGAGCTTGACATTCTGTCTGAAAATGACAAAAGTAAAAATTAAAAAAAAATCCATGAGTTCTTTCTTCTAACATGTAGAAATGATTTTTCTTTCCTCTTAGTTAACTGCTTTGTGTATGTTAATGAGTCTTTCTACCAAATCCATGAGTATCAAAGGAGCATAATTATGCAGGCAAGGTTTTTGTCTTTATATTTCATTATATATTACTTTTTATTTATTTTCTCCTATTGTGAAATCCATTTGTAGAGAACTGTGTGCGAGAGAGAGAATGGTAAGAGATCAATGAAAAAATATTTTCCAAAAGTTGCTTTTCCCTCACCCCCCAAAAAACAAGGTTAAAAATTAAAATGTGCTTATAAAACATGCAAACCCCTGTTGTTTTACTAAGGCAGGGTCCCAGGCATTACATACATTCCCGTCTAATACACATACGCTATGAGTACCCTGGCACACTTAATTT